TTAATAATAAAGTGAATTGACCTATTATCAAACTTTAGGGTATATAATATTATTATTTGAATTTTCAAACGGATTTTTACATTTTAATTTTTAAATGTTAGTAGGTACAACAAATTGGAACTACTTGAACACACATTGGCCTTGTCGTACCAACTCTTATATAACGGCTACAATGCTACGTCCTGCGAAAGTGAGGCATCCTACACAAACATTATAATATATTAATATATTAATTAAATGAAAGTGAATAATTAATAAAATATTTCATGACTACCTACCTAAATTTAAATGAAATTTTATTTTAGTTCATTAATTACTCACAAACTTGTTTAAAATTCTAAGACGTATTTGGTATCTATATTTATTATTAATTTATTAAAATAAGTTGAAGATTATTTGTAAGTAGGCAATTAAAAATTAATACATAAATCTTGTTAATAACTTCATTTTCTGCTTATAAGAAAATCTAAAACATCCGTCACCTCTTTGAAGTAGGTATAAATAATAATTTTATTAGGTGTTCGTCATGCTCTGTTTTAATTAAAGTACCTTACAATAGTCGTAAATTATAAAAGGAAGGTGACAGTAAGCTTACATTTTTCAGTTGAATAATACAGTTTATATACATATAAAAATTAAACAAATAAACAAAAAATTCTTATAGTAGTAAGACCATATTGTGTGTTCTAACTTCTAGTAGAAAAATGATTACAAAATATTTTTACCTTAAACTTGTATTGTTATAAATATTTGTCATCCCAAATATAATATTATTATGTTAATTAATAATATCATTAGATAACATATTTTCCAAACAAACAATAATAACTTAATACAATAAAACGTCATTTAAGTCGGTTAGCAGTGTTAGCACGAAATTATTGTAATAATATTGTTATTATTTTTTTAATTTTGAAATTGAATATTTATCATATTATCACCTAATTGTTCACTTTGCAGTCACCTACTCGTTGCATTCTAGACTTATAGAACTGTAGGTAGGTAATTAACATATACCTAATAGGTTCGTAAAAACAGTACAGCTATAATAATATTATATTGTTACCTAACAGTGATAATAAAAATCGTTCAACATCACAATTCACAAGCAGACTATAATATTAAGACCACGTGGTATCAAGTACGTACCACGTATACCTGTAAGTTATAACCATCTACCTGTCCTGTATAATTTAAAATTATATAATATCAGACTTTTAGCACGGAGTTATTGTAATAATAATGTGATTATTTTTTTAAATTTTGAAATCGAATCTTTATCATATTATTATTTATTAACTATTTGTTGCAAGCACCTACTCGTTGCATTCAACTATTTAAGTATACAACTGTGGGTAGGTAATTAACATCTGATTGGTTCATACAAACTGTACAACTATCATAATTGTCAACAACGATAAAAAAATCTCCGGAGCAACGCCAATAGGTAGTAAGAGAGTTCAGAACTTATACTAATAGACAAGAACTGTGTTTAACAAAAACATTACGAGCGGCTTGCAAACATATCGCAGTCTATACTCTATCCGTATAAATTATCTTACCGTACTACCACGATGTTGGTTTACCTACATAGTACGTACAACACCGTCTACACCTACATAATATGTGTGTCCCAGTCGCCGAAAAGCGCCCTCTATGTTTCCACGCTCGGTATGTGCAATCACTTCTTGTCCATAATTAGTATGGTGTTGGGGCAACATCGATAGCAGATTATAATAATATATCATACCACGCGGTATCAGGTAGGTATATCATGTACCACGTATACCTATTATAGCTATCTGTGTAATATCATAAAGTACCCGATGGGTAATGAACAACCGTCACCGTAATATTTATTCGTCTATAGCTGGTACTTATACCTATTTTCCAAACAAACAATAACAACTTAATAAGTATAGTTGGGTAGGTTAAGACGTAATGTTGTAACCGTGTTTAACTTCGTTCTCCTGCTTTAATTAATTATGTTACTTCAACCAAATTACAAATTTGTTTTTGTTTTTTATCTTAAGGGGCCTGCACGCGACCTGTTTTTTTGCTCAAAAACATGCCTTACAGGAAAAACTCTCACGCCTCGTAGATTGGTCCGATTTCCGTAATTTTTTTTTTGTTAGATAGAGGAAGACTTCTTACAGGGCGCATTGGACTTGGATTTTCAACATTATTTTTCTAAGTCTTATGTTACAAGTTTGAATTTAATCAATTTTTACAACTTTTTAGTTTTTGTATTATTTTTTGTTTTTAGCGACGTAATCAAAAATCGAAGTCCAATGCGCCCTGTAAAAAATATTCCTCTATCTAACAAAAAAAAAATTACGGAAATCGGACCAATCTACGAGGTGTGAGAGTTTTTCCTGTAAACTGTGTTTTGACCGATATAATACACCCTATCAACCCCCCCTAAATAGGTATTGGGTAGTAGATTAGTGGAAAAGTCTTATAATTAAGGTGGCAACTAAAATATAAAATTTAATTTTCAAATTTTATAGAATTGCGGAAAATTTGAAAAATCGCGAGCAGGCCCCTTAATATATTCTATACTATATTTAAATTATGTATATTTTTAAAAAATGACACAACATCTGGTAAGTTTGTAAAAAAAGCATAGCTATAATAACAAAATATTTTTAACAATGATTTAGAACGACGATAAAAATCGTTCGGGACAACATCGCTAGCAGATTATAATAATATCAAGTCCGCGCGGTATCAGGTATATTATGTACCTACCACGTATACCTACTATAGCTATCTGTGTAATATTATATCATATCCGACGGGTAATGAACAACCGTCGTCGTGATGCTTATCCGTCTATAGGTACAACACTACTTAACGCTTGCGCCGAACGTCGCCTCACTTGGCTTCGCTGGCTGGCTCGCGGCTTGTCGCCTGTTCAGTGTCCCGTTGACCATGTGCTCCTTCGGTTATGCGAACGAATCGCGAATGATAATTTATTTTGTAATAGCCAAACTGTTCGTATAGTTTGTCGATCGGATCACATAATACGTACGTCGGTGTATGAAATCTTGACGTGACATAATATGATTCACTCAATGGTAACACGTCGAATTTTATAATATTATATGATTTTTCTATTTTTAGGTGAGCGCGAGCGCGAATTTTTTTCAAACCATGTTAAAAAATAAAAACTAAAATTAATATGTTTAAAAAAATACCAACTGAAAAACATTTTCCCCCTATTTTCTGATCGTTCGACATAATATTATTCACAGTTATGTAAAAGTACTTATTTGTCGCTTTCGTATGGGTTTTAAACAACGCTTTTCTTTTAATCCAACGACTCAGTGTCAAATAATATTTTAAGACGCTGTCACCCATATTATATGATACGTTTAAAGTTTGATTCGTTTAAAACATCGTGACTAGTGAACCGTTACAGTTCACTTTTCATTAATTTTTGATCTGACATAAATTGTTTACAGCCTTAGCAAGTTAGAAAATACAAATTGTATCATTATATATTATAATATATATTATATTATTATTATTATATATTATATTATATATATATTTATATCACATAAATAATCAAAATATTAAAATTATATTTTGCATAAGATAAATATAATTGATTAGTTTAAATGGATAATAAAAACATGAATATATTTTTATATTAATGTAATATATTTTTAAACATAACTGCATTTATTATTGGTATCTTTCCACGTTCAATAGTAAGTTTTGAAATACCTAGTACAATGTTTGAATTAATTGATAAAATGTGTATTGTTAATAATTTATTGTAAATTATAATTACTTTTTCACTAAGTATTGAAATAGTTAATATGAATTTATGTATTGTTAAATTAATGTTTGTTTGTATACCTTTTATCCATTTCATAGTAATATGTCTCATGGAGTAGTAAATAATATATATTATTCATTATGAAATTCTGTAGTTTAAAATTACTTTTATAATACCTGCTTTATAATATAATATAATATATTTTACTGATTTTATATTGTTCAATACAATATTTGATTTGTGATTTATATAATTATTCGCTTTGCATAATATTTTCCAAATAAATATTTACTTTTGAAAAATTATTTATGAAGCATAAAATTATAAAGTCATAAAAAATTCTTGGAAATTTTACTGCTCTATAAATATAACTTGATTTTATAATATTTACTCATTAATTACTCATAAATCATAATGAAATATTCAAATAAATACAAATGTGGTTTTTCCAAGAGGGATAAAAATTTAAAAAAAATTATTTAATTTTTAATTATAATAATATATAATTTAAACCTAAAACATACATAAAAATAGATCTTTTAGAGTAAGGGGAATTTTTTTATACATTTGAGGAATTAAATTACAGTTGATGAGTACCTACATAAAATTTGTATTTAAATAATTAGGTATTATTTATTTTTTTAAGTTTACAGTGTAAACTTTTAAAACCGATGGCCATTACCTCATTGGAAACACAGATATAACATTTCTAAAGGAATAACAACTTTGGTTGGTATTATTTGCGATGCAAAAAAAAACAATGCTAATAGTATAGAGTGATTTTTAATACAATTTTGAAATGTTTACATTCAACTTTGTACTTAAATAGTCTTCATAAGTATACATATTATGTTTAATTTGAATTGTTGTTGGTATTTTATAATCTGATTAAGTTTTAAATACTATCCAAAAATAGTTTCGTTTTTAAACGTTTTCATAAAGTTATTTGTATTTTTATTTGTTTTAGTTGGAAATGATGAAGATTTGAAAATAAACAATTATTTTCATTACAACCATAAGAGGATTTTAGCTCAGAAGAACATACATATGCATTTTTTATTTTTTATTATTGTTTGAATGTGAAATGTAAAATCAAAATGATTCTTTTTAAGTGTTCGTATACTAATGAACTTGGCTATCTTAAATGACGGGTTTATTAAGTGATCAAAAGTGAATTAAATAACATAAGTTTTACTAACAAAGGATCATTATGAAGATATTTCTTAATTTTGGACTTCTCCTATTTTCTGTTGTACCGTGTATCTTGATGTTGATTCAAAACCCAACTAAACTTCAAGGTTAGTAAAAATATTTTATTATTTTGAGTTTGTTTTTATTTATTTTAGAATTTAATCTTATTAATATTTATTATATACATTTAAATACATTTGCTAGCTCGATCAAAATGTTGGATACTCTATACAAAAATTGAATGTTTTTTTTTTTTTAAATTTTGATAAAGATTAAGACTACTTAATAGATCGTAATATACTTTTAATGCACAAAAAGTTAAGGTTTATTGGTTATAATTACATTCAATAACAAAAAAAGAAATGGGTGTTTGACACGTTTTAAAATTATGTCATGTTGGAGGAAAATAATTGTTAATTATTTTGTCTTAGTTATAATAATTTAATATAATTACAATTTAAACTTAATCTTACTATAATCTAGATAAGTTACTGGCGTCAAATTGGTTATACTGAATGTATATTATTAAAGTTTTATAAATGTTTACAAGACAAGTTTTATCAGCTAAGTATAAAATAATTAGCTAGCATCATTAATTATCGCGAGATTCAATTTCAAATTACAATACTGCTATTAAAGTGTTAACTCAAAAGTGTGCAAAAAGTCAAATAATTGTTTGGTATATTTTTTTTCTTGTCAATTAAGCAATTACGTAAAAATTAAATTATAATACAATTATGTTAATCTAGTTAAATATTAATCCCCATGCAATTTATCTATCAACACTTTTATCCAGAAAAACGTATAAATAATAGTTTTTTTAGTATCTATTATTTGTTTTATAATTTATTAGAGAAAATAATGCAACTGTGTAAATAATATTATGTTGAAGGTAATACATTTTTAAAATACTAATAATTTTTTTTTTTAATTTTCTATTTAAGTAAATGTATTAAAGTTATTTGTGGAGGTAAAATAAAAAAAAATATGACCTTATGTAAGCTTTTTATCCTTAGACGATTTAGAACAATATTATATAACTCTTATTTATTTTCGAAAAGCCGAGAAAAAGTATTGGATACTACAACTCGATCAAATTATTTGTAAAATATATGATATATATATAATCAATATACAATTTAATACAACTATAAAGTTTCCGCAGTGGGACGTGTACAAAATTCAATATTCCAATAAACAGGTATTTATGAATAAATTAAGAGCACTTAACACACTTATATAGATTTATCATTTATATATAAGTTTTATATATATATATACTTATTCCTTATTGACTATATAATCATAAAATAGTATACAACGGGGTCTTACTGTGTTCTAAACGTATTATGAACATATTCGATTCCATAGAATTCGATTATATTTATACATACCTTACTATCAGGAGTATAGCCAAGTTTTTATTTTTTATTATATAATTAAAGTATTTTAATAGGTATACGAGACACAAAGGTATATTTAATACATAAAAAAAGAAATTGTTTTTATTTTTTTAAAACTATATAAAGTTATTTAGTTTATTTAACGAACATTACATTATTATAATTTAATTAATTTTGAAAGTTCAAAACTCTATGAATACATAATGGAAAATATTAATTCAACTTTAAATATATAATATATAATATGGGGCCTTTAAAATATTGGCTGAATCAATATTGTATGTAGGTAACTAAAATAATAATATTTGTTTTTCGTTCAAGTATACGTTCAAGTACACAAAAAAATAAAATTATTAAAATATTTTAATACTGCTTATACGCCTATATAGTAAAAAAATATTTTGATAAAATCACATTTTAGACAACTGAGTTAGAATAATGTAATTATAATAGGACCAAAATCGGACCGAAAAACACAAATATAGGTTATTATTTGTTAGTTGTTGGATAAACTGAAAATTTATTTTTGAATTTCTATTCTGTAATTCATTTGTATAATGATCCAATATTGAACTGTATAAATTTATATCCATTATTTTCAAAAAAATGTCTAAACATTGTCCGATGTTAAGGTGTTCCAATGAAAAATATAAACGTGTGGAACTTTTTCATAATATATTCATAAATTGTATCACAACATTTTTCTAAAACATAATTAAATATTTAGAAACGGGGAAGGGTATAAACTGATAACAATTGGTTATTCAAAAAAATGTAAGTGATATTAGTTAAAAAAAAAAAAAAAAAAACAATTTTAATAATATATATTGTATTAACAATATAGGTGCGTAATTATTTGGTGGATAAAATGAATACTGTTGTCATACGAAACTAATGGCTAGGAGTTAATTTGTTTCCAAGGAAAATTATTTACACATATTACTATTATTAGTGGGTACTTACTTAATTAGGTTTTTAATATATTTATACAATATTGGCAATGACGAATTGGCCACGAATACAAATAGATTATTATTAAGTGTTCATAATTAGAAAATATATTTTCAATGGTATTTTACCATTGTATATAAAATGGAATGTTACTGAGCTTTAAGAGGACGCTACACCCGCATGTGTTGTCTCCGTCTTACACACGTACGACATAGACAAAACGCGTTTAGGCAGTCTGAGTATAACTCGCTCAATTTTGGTTCTAGAGTAAAAATACCTATTATGAAATTGAATTGTGATAATATTTCTAAGGGCAAGACGCTGCGGTTTTTTTAAAAAATTTAATTTTTTAAAAGTCAAAGGTATTTTAAAAATGGTGAAATTTTTTCTATTTCTAAACAATATAATGAACGTTAAATTGGGTATAATGGAAAAACCGCAGCGTCTTGCCCTTAGAAATATTATCACAATTCAATTTCATAATAGGCATTTTTACTCTAGAACCAAAATTGAGCGAGTTATACTCAGACTGCCTAAACGCGTTTTGTCTATGTCGTACGTGTGTAAGACGGAGACAACACATGCGGGTGTAGCGTCCTCTTAATCATGACTATAGTAGGTAATTTTAAGAATCCGATGATTAATTATTGCTTCCAAGATTAACTTTGTGTCGAGATAAGCGAAGCGAGACAACCCGTGGTCTGTGTATGCTGTCCTCAATTATTATTATTTTTTATTTAGAATCCGTGGTTTGATAGACGTATCAGTAGGTACCTAGGTATAAACCTACAAATATGGCAGTCCATTAATTGATTAGATAATAAAATATTTCACACGTTAACATAATATATTATTATAATATTAAGTTGATCAATTCATCACTATATTGAACGAAAACAAATGCTCATAACTTTTTATATACATACGGGATGCCACCATTGGGTGACTTCCTCCTCCCGCAAATCAACCCACATCCCATTTACTTATTGTACTACATGTAAATACAGATTGTAAATATACATTTTTGTTCAATAAAAAAAAAAAAATGTAAAAAAAAAAAATTTTTTATATTTTATACAACATAATCTTATTTGAATTTGAGTAATAAGCACATAACTGTGCTGTAATTTAGTTCATTCTATTTGATAAAATTTCAATATTTATTTTCTCTAGTTATTCATTATAAGGTAACTGTTACTCAATTTCTGTAAAATATACTTTTTTTCTTAGCAATATAATTTTACCTTATTTTTAAATTATAGTCACTTGAAGTATTGTAATGGATATTATTAGGTACCTGTTAGATTTGAATTCAATAATAAATTATTGAGTACAAAACATGATTCTGGGCAAAGGAGATGGGTGAATCACACCATCCGTTTCCGAGAATAGTTTATAATATAATATTATACATTTTGCATCCATACTACAACTGTGGTACACACATTTTAAGTCAATACACATGCACTGTAAAGTGGTGTGAATAACCTAGTAGTATAGGCAAAAATTAGTATAAATATTTTCAACATTTCATGGCGTCTTTGCGTGTAATAAACTAAATAATATTACGCGTATGGCGTATGGCGAAAAGTGTCAAGTATAAAATTTCTTTTGGCTATTCATAACCATGTAGGTATAAATAATATATATAATTTTTTTTTTTTATAAAATGAATTTGTTGGCCAAAAAACAATATTACCTGGAAATAAGAAGAATAAAATATAAAGCAGATGAATGACCTATCTCACCACTCAGTATAACCTCTAATCGGTGATGATACAGTACTAATAAACATTAAATAATGTAAACATTTATACATTTATATACAAATTATTCAGAAAAAATAAACGAATTCATAAAGAGATATAATAATAGTATAATACAAATTATTGAGGGGATGTACAAAGCAATCTATACAACATTCAACTAACAGCTATTAAAGTTGTTCGCATTATTATTTAGCTATAGTTTGATGTCACGTATATAATATATTTTAATATAATATGATGTGCTGTTAATGATTTCGTTGGTACATTCATTAATACATTTAAACCTACTTGTGAAAATTATCTACTAGATTTTAATGACTGAATTTTTATTTTACACATTTCTAAATTATTTTTTAGGCGGGTGTTATGATACCTTGGTTTAAATTTAATTAAGTTACATTTATATGAAAAATATAAAGACTTTCTGTAAAATAATGTTTGAAAAGTGAAAACTTTGAACTCTTTAAAGTTTAAATAAATTAATACTATGGAATATGTTTAGGTTTATTTTGAATTATTTTAAGTATGGTTTCTGAGCTCTAAATATTTTATTCTTTTCTAAGATACTTAAACCTTCCCAAGTGGTTATTCCATATTGCAGAAGAGATTGTACCATGGCAAAATATATTATAAAACGTAGATTTTGAATATTAATGAATTTGTTTGCATTGATAAACGAATAGTATAATTTACGTAGTTTAATTATTGTATTTTTTGTGTTCCCGTCCAATTTTAGGTGGTGGTCAATGGTAATTCCTAAATATTGAATGTTATCTGTTTTTTTAGTGACGCTACACGAGCAGTTATTAAGTTTACAATTTACGTCATAGGTTTTAATTTATTTTGAGTTCAGTAACGTTCTGATGCCTGAAGTAAAGGTTATGATAATATGAGAATAAACAATTTATATTTTATTACAATAATATTGATTTTATATTTGAAATGGTCTATCCTAAGTCCTAACACTCATCTATCCTGTATATC